CTGCTTCTAGAACCAGGAAAATTATCAGAACCAGAAAACAATGCTAGTTTGAATGATTGCGAAGACAAAAGAGCTCACTTAGGATTATTGCTATTTTATAGCTAGATCAGTCGGTTTTAGAAGCACTTCCATCTGATCTTCGACAACAAGTAGAGCAGATTTGTGCCATTCAGCAAGGAGAAACACATGGCGACAAAAAGAAGGAACCAGTAAATGGTTGTAGCACTGGAATTTTGCCACAACCAGTTGGAACAGTTTTGTTACAAATACCAGATCTTCAAGAATCAAATAGTGACACTGGAGTCAATGTTATAGCCCTACCAGCATTTTCACAGGTAAGGCAAACCAAATTAATTAAATGTGCTTGTGTTTTATCTAACTACAACTTCATTCACTTCTTAAAGCCTCTTGACCCTCTGTCATTAGGTCTCTTGTTCCTTAACCTGGCCTGTGCCATTTTATTCCCTGACACTGTTCCTTGGTTTTGCTGTTGTAGAAAAGAACATTAAATCAATTTCCTTGTTTCCCTATGTTTTTTTTATCCTAAAAACTTTTCTTTGTAAATATTTCAAGGAAACACATATATGCATATATATGCCTAGTAACAGCAGTGTAGTAGGTTACAAAGAGTAACAAAGGGTATGTATGCAGTTTCCTGGCTTATAAGGCATCTACATTTCTTTCCTGTTTTTGTTCATCTAGCAATTTTAACTGATGAGGTACGAGGTACCTTGGAGTTCTACTGTGCTCCATTACTGATTACTACAATTTTTTTCATATGGTTCTTGATAAAGAGCCTCCATACAATTGAATTCTGTATCTTGAGTATGAGACTTTTATCAGAGAAACTTGCAATTCCCTCCCACCCCAGCCAATCATCATGCATCCCCCCCCATCTCAGTTACATTGGCTTTATTTAACAGAATTGTCTGTTTTTACTTTATATTGTATCGCTTATTTGGTCATGAAATCTTATCTATAGATCTACAAAGTTAATTTCTTCCCTGTACCTAATGATGTGTCCTTTTATTTTGTATTTGTCATCTAGCCATTTTGAGTTCCCTTGAGAAAGCTGTCCAGTTTTCCCAGCAATTAGTGTCCAGTAGTGAGTCCGGTGGCCTTTGGGTTTAATGAACGCTGCTATTTTGTTCATTTTCTTCTGCATTCTGTGTACTTGATCTTTTCCACTGATTGAAGGCATTTATTAATTGGTGGAAGTACAGTAATGCTTTTTTGGTGTCCTAGAAAGTTATTAAAGCATGGGAATCAGACTTGCTGCTAAATATCAAGGGTTTTTAATACATTGAATTTTTGTATAACCTTGCCCATTTATTGTTCATTAGGTGGACCCTGAGGTGTTTGCTGCGCTTCCTGCTGAACTTCAAGAGGAGCTGAAAGCTGCATATGATCAAAGACAAAGGCAATTCGAGAACTCCGCATACCAGCAACCAGCCAACTCATTGGGTAAGCTTGGGGACAGTGAAATGGCCCATCAAAGGTTAGGTCTTCCCTGCACACATGAACATCCTCCACTCCATTGTATGTCACAATGTGGCCAGCTTTCCTGTTTTGAATCTTTCCAAGCTTAGTTAGCCAGTCTTAGATCCTTAAAAAATGCCAGGGCCATGAGTTATGTGGAGGTAGGTAGGGTGTATTAATGAAGGTACTGAAAATTATTAGATTTTAAGGCCTTTTTTTGGGTGGGGGTTTTATTCTTTTTTGGTTTGTTTTTCAGTATCAAAGAATCCTTTATTACAACTAAAACAAACAGTAGTAAAAGATAAGAAGAAAAGCAGGAAGAAAACAGCCAGTCCCATGAAAAAGGTCCAGAGTACTTTGAACAACAAGCTGCTCAGTAGTCCAGCTAAAACACTGGTAGCACCTACTGGAAGTCCACAGAAGCGGATAGATGGCTTTTTGAAACAAGAGGGTCCAGCTTCTAATGCACAGGTTAAGATTGTGCTGCAACTTTTCTTCTTCTTGGGACACTGTTTCCTTTAATTGTTGATGACAAAACAGTTTTTAAGATTTTGCTTTGTAATTGGTAGCTGACATCACGTTAAATTCTTCCTCAACAGGCTGAGCCAAGTTCATCCACTTCAGTTAGGTCAGGCCCTTCTTTGCCATCGGAACTGGGAGGCTCCTTTAGACAACCAGCACCCAATCTAGCTGGTGCTGTTGAATTTAATGATGTGAAGACCTTGCTCAAAGAATGGATTACCACTATATCAGGTAGTCTTAGAACTTGTCAGTCCATACCTTTTTCAAAAGAAATGTTTCATGTTTGTAAAACTGTGCTTTACCTTAAAGGTAATCATTGAATGTTAAAATTATCAATTATAGTCTTCCTTTTTCTTAATTAATTATTCCAAACTCACTGGGGAACAGTAATTTGTGGAGAGGTTGATTCAGGATAAATCAAGACAAAAATCTGTGAAGAACAAAGCAAAACATCTGATCTTATCCCTGATTCATTTTGGGGGGGGGGGGGGGAGGAGTGGTGAGGCAGTCAGGATTAAGTGAATCACCCAACTCAGGTCCTCCTGACTCACTGATTGGGATCTTTTAGAAAAGCCCTGAAGAGAGGTTGGAAGACATTTTGCCTCTTGACTTTTTTTTTTATCCCCAACAGATCCAATGGAAGAAGACATCCTGCAAGTTGTAAAATACTGTACTGACCTAATAGAAGAAAAGGATCTAGAAAAACTGGATCTGGTTATAAAGTACATGAAAAGGTAATGTGACATTGTACCTGTTCTCAACTGGGGATAGAAGCATCCTAATTAGCATTTTGGGTTGTTGGGTTTGTTTTTTTTTAAGTGACAAGTTAAGCAGAAAGTTCTATGCCTGTTGAGGGTTTATGACTCTTGTCAGATTCATATTTGAACATTTTTAAATTTCTGTGTCTGATGGGAAAAACCATTAACTGACATTTATAACATTTCCTTAAATTGTGAAGTTAGACAACAAAACTGTAGTATTAGCAGTGTTAGTATTAGCTTCTGTGTCACCAGGAGGAATCAAATTTTTTTTAATCATTATATACTGCAGATATTCTGAAACATTGCATATGTTCATCACTACTTCAAAAAAGATTCCCCACACTATTATTAATTATATCAGATTAATTTTTAAAAATATTTTGATAATCATCTGGAAAAACATTTCACACGTTTAAAAGAAGTATTGTGAAAAGGGCTACCTAACACAAGGTAGGTTAAGGTTCTGACACTAGGTTGCCTGCTGGCTTTTATAGTAGTGAAAAATTGATTATTAAAAATCTCCAAGTACCACATAGTCCCCCTAAATGGTAAATTTTGACTAGTGAAAAAGGCTTCCGCGTAAAAATGATGCTGAATGGCCAAACATTTCCCCACCTTTAAAGGCTTTCCATCATTTCTCAGAATAGGCATATATTTTATTTAGATAGATAGATACAGATATATAATCTCTTAAGAATAAGTAATGAGACCTTCTTTTGTGTGTGTGTATATATATATATATATATACATATATATATATACATATATATATATATATACATATATACGTATATATACATATATACGTATATATATACATATATATGTATATATATACGTATATATGTATATATATATACATATATATATACATATATATATACATATATACGTATATATATACATATATACGTATATATATATATGTATATATATGTCTCATTACTTATTCTTAAGTAACTTATTCCAAGTCAGAAAATCCAATTTGTATTATTTTGTGCTGATTCTTAACCTTCCTGAAGTGTAGGTATTTTGCTACTGAAAACAATAATTTGAGGATTAATATTTTTTTTCCGCTTACTTCCTCCCAATCCCTACCCCCCCTCATTTCAGGTTAATGCAGCAGTCTGTGGAATCAGTTTGGAATATGGCATTTGACTTTATTCTTGACAATGTTCAGGTGGTTTTACAACAAACTTATGGAAGCACATTAAAAGTTACCTAAACTTGTAATAAGGAGCTTGGTGAGAGAGAGCCTGGAGCTCTCTACTACTAGCTGTGCCATAAGTGCTTGTGAGGTATTTGCAAAGTGCATGATAGTAATGCTCTGAGTTTTTATAATTTTGAATTTCTTTTTAAACGGAAGTGTTTTGTACATTTCTTTTCAAAAAGTGCCAAATTTGTCAGTATTGCATGTAAATAATTGTGTCGATTCTTTTACTGTAGCATAGACTCTATTTACAAAATGTTTGTTTATAAAGTTTTATGGATTTTTACAGTGAAGTGTTTACAGCTGTTTAATAAAGAACTGTATGTATATTTTGTATTGACTTTTATTTTGCGACTCTTTAAATGTCTGCCCCTCCTTATTGTTCTCTTAGGCCAGGAGCTCTCACATCATACACTTAAAATAACTCTGCTTAGATTTCCCCCCTTTACCTACCTACTAAGTAGCATTATTTATTTTTTAAGGTTAGTTGACTCTTCACTAAACAATAGGGCAAGATAAACTGTACCTTTAATTCTGACAATGTATGTTACAACTGGCCCAGTCTGGAACATGGAGAAAGTTTATTGTGAGCATCTCTTCGGATTTGTCTTAATGTGTGGTAAAAACTTCTTCCCATAGACTTTCATAGACCAATCCACACTGAATCTACCAAATCCCTATGATTCATGATTTAATTTATATATGGCATGTAAACATATATCTCCTGCTCTAAAGCCTTCATGTTGTCATTCTCGGTCTTTCTGTTCCCTCAAAGTGCTATGTGGTCACTATTTTCCCAGATTACTAGGCAATCTACATTTAAACTATTATAGGCTTCCTTTTCTAACTTGGATAGATAGGTAATGGGTGAAGTAAGTAGATATAAAAGATACTCTGCACCCTGATTCACCTGTTCCCAGCCTATTAAAAAAACAGCTTACAATTCAAGATATTATGTCATGAGATCAGCTATGTGTATGTGTGTGTGTGTATATATATAAAGTGTCACTCTTCCTTTTTAAATTAAAATTGTCTGTGCAAAAATAAATATCCATATAACTGAATTCAAAAACATCCTATAATCCAAAAACGGTTTACGATCAGAAACAATGGTAATGGGGTTCCCCCCCCTTTTGGGGATTTTTGTTGATTCTAATCTATGAAGAGCTTATTTGTGGCATAATTGTGTTCAAGCATATATCACACTTGACAATAAGAAAACATTATCACCCATCTTATTCAGCCTTCAGACTGCCCCTTCACACACTGGATCCAACCTGTCTCAACATAAATCACAACACAGATTTGAGCAGAGTGGCCCCTCTCTCACACGTGCTACAAAAACAAAATAGCTCTGGCCAAATTACTCCAATCGTAATCCTCATTTAGGAAAAACTCTACCTTCCAAGGCAGCAGCTTAAAACAGCTTGTTTAATATAATAGTAGTTCAGAAGTGTTAGATCTGCATGGTCCAAATGTCCAATATGCACCTGGACTCCATTTCTCTGATACTTTTGCCAACTGATCCAAAAATGGATCAATGATAATCAACATGCTGAAAAAATAAAGAGTTCCTGTCTGAACTCACTCTGATCCTATGTCTGTCTTGCTGGGGGAACATGTCTACAATATACTCTAATTTCTGAAAAACAAAATGCACAATACAGGAAAAATATGTTAAAGAAAATCTCTGTATAAAAATGACTGCTGCTAGATTTTAAGAAACTTGCTGATGCTAGTACAAGGTATCGCAGTGTCATCTATGAGCCTTTGTCCTTAGAGGGATACTTGCAGTGAGAAGATGACAACTAATACCAACTTTGAAGCAAGAATAGTCTGTGCTGACATTGAAGCCTAACAGAATTTGACGGTCAATGTCCATTCCCTTTATTTGTGGCTCTGTATTGTAATAATTACAGTTTATGTTGACTTCCATGGACTGTACAAGCAATAAAAGGCAGCCAGCTATGCTTTACATCATTGTTTCACACAAAGCAAATACAGAAATATCATATTACCTAATTTTCTATTTTAAAAAATTTCTATAGGCACAAAGCAGAATGCTGGAAAATCACCGAGGAAAGAATATGCATAAATAAAGAAGTATTTCTTACATCAAAAAAGTCCAAGAATCACAAAGTCTGCAGAAGCTTGGTTAATCAAATACTGCAGTACTGATTTAATCAGTATAAAATTGAAAGAGCTTTAGTTCTGTAATAAAAATTCAAATTTGGGATAGGGCAAACTTTAAACAGTAGCCAGTAAAGAAGGGAAGGGAAAGGTAGTGGGACAGGTGAACAGGCACATTGGAAGTGTGGGGACATGTAAATTGACCACTGTCAAACCAGTGTAAGTTTCTTGGTTTCTCATGGAAAACATTTTATCCACCTATTTTTTCCTTCCAAACTTAAGTCCATCGAAGTCCAACACATTGTTTCTCAATTGTTTTTTGTTTTTGCTTGGTTTTCTTGGTGACAATACAACAGAATAGTAAGTTTACTACTTTTCCTGCCCACTGTGGAAAAATTAGATGATTTCAAATACTTTCTTCAGCTCCACAATAAGTTGCCAGTCACTCTTCTGCATTTCATCTCTGAACCAATCCTTCAATGCATCAATGGACTGTCGACTGATCTGCAATGCACCCAGCATATAGAGTTAAAGCCATGTAGAAAACCACTTATACCTTTCTTAATGACTGAAATGTCAATAGATTGTTTATTTTAAAAAGTCTCCACTAGTCCTTACCAAATTGTTAAAACAAAATGTCTGAACTGATGCAGTATATTCTACCCAAGTAAGAGACAGATTGAGCACATTAAGAGATCCTATCTTCTGATAATCATACAAGCCTGGAATTTTTGTTGGCTAACAACTTCTTTGATTATGGAATCACTAGTGGGGCAAAATCACTCATATGCCACTGCAAAAATATGGAAAAGAATGTGTCAGACTCATAATCCAATAAACTTTTTCCTTCAGTATTAACGTCTTTGGTTTGACGGGTGTGTGTGTGTGTGTGTGTGTGTGTGTGTGTGTGTGTGTGTGTGTGTGTGTGTCTTGTATATATACACATATACACACATAATCTTGCATACACACATATTTATATTTTATTTACTATTTGAGGTGTACACATAGGCCCCATAAAACCACCATTAAAATTAAAGGGAGAAATTACTTGTATTATGAGTCTCATTTGTACTATGGTCTCATTTTAATACTAATACAAGACAAACTTTTTTAAATGGTCAAGAAATACATTTAATTAATTTGATTTTAAATGGCAACTTTCTTTTACCACCTTAGGGCTTTCTGCACTCATTCACATAAACAAAGCTTGAAATTTGTCTGAAAAGAGAGCTGGGGCACTAATGTAGGTATCTGTGACAAGTGACAGCTTAGTCCAGGGCCTCCTGACTCTAAGCTCAGACTGCGTACCCCCCAAGCTGCCAGATTACAATAGTTTACGTAGTCTTAAGAATCTAAAAACATGGATAGAGCACTGGCCCTGAAATTAGGAGGACCTGAGTTCAAATCTGACCTCAGACCAAACACCTGACACTTACTAGCTGTGTGACCCTGGGCAAGTCACTTAACCCCAACTGCCTAAAAATAAAAAAAATTTAAAAAAAATCTAAAAACAATCTGAGAAGAGGTCAATAGGTGGGATGCACGAAACAAACAAAAAGGTCCCGTATGTTGGGCAGAAAAGCTGTGCATAGTTTATAGAAGGATATGAACAAGAATTACAAAGAATTAAAGGACAGGTTATAACACACACACTATCTGGAATACTCACACCAATGAATTCCAATTCCCAAGGCTAAACCATTTAAAGCTAAACAAGCATAGATACTCCAGAATGTGGATCTTAACGTTTTTGTTTTTGTTTTTAAAAAGTGGGTAACACTTTCATAACCAGAGTTACTGGTGGCTGTTTATGTGTAGCCAATAACAGTTTTGGAGAGAAGCACAATAAGGGAATTAAATACTAGCCTTTACAATCAGAAAACCTATTGACCTCAGGCCATCCAATTTTGTAAATGAGTGAACTTACTTAAAGTTACATAGGTAATAATCATCAGAGGCAGGATCTGAACACAGGACTCTTCCCACCATACCATGTACATATTAGTCCTGGTTCTAATACTTGTTAGAAAATGGGCAAAATACAACGTCCCTAAGCTTCAACTTCACCAACAGAATACATAAGTAGTACCTGCACTACGTGCCACCTTACAGAATGCTTCCCACAGTCCTTTTCAGATTTAAAAGCAAGCTTGTTGCTTGATGTGCCAATTACTATGGGTAAAGTACTTACCTTGCTAACAAGAATGTCTGTAGCTTCAAAATGTCTTCCATACATTTTGGGAGATTCTCCAGGAATAGGCTCTATTTTGACACAGACTTCTTGGCCCTTTTTTGCAATATCTACTTGTTTATGGTTTACTTCAATACTTGTAACTATTCCAATCTCAACAAACTGCAAAATAAGAGATACCGCTACAATGTGCATGAAATAACTGCATGTTTATCATTGTTATCCCAGCTGAATATGCTACTTCCCAATATATTATTTTCCATGACCTAGAAAGTAAATACCTCTGAGAAATGGAATTTAATCTATAACCACAACCATTTCCCTACTGTCATCTGTCAATACAATCGAAAGATCACTGTAGGAGGCAAAATTCACGAGGTCCTTACCTGTAACTTGAAGCAAGAGATAAATCAGTGCTAGAAAAGATTTTAAAGATTATCTGTCCAAAGCTTTTAATGGACAGATGAGGAATTACTCTCTCATGTTTAAATTGTTGGACTTGAATTGAACCTTCTTAAATGGCAAGAGAACAGCTGGTCATTTACAAAACAAAATGCATGAAGAAGGGGGATTTGTTCCCCAAAAATCACCAAATAAAATCCTGTATTCATTTCACTAAGTCCAAGTGTGTGTGGGGAGCGCGCGGCGCATGCACACAAGGCGGGCACCAAGAAATCCCTGGAAAATTCTGATCATAAGGCCATGTTCCCTTATTTTCACTTGACGACTGCTCTTCTGTAAGCCAACAACCCTTAGTAAAGATTTCTACCACCCTTAATGTAAATGAGAAGTTACAATCTAGTGAGCCCTGAACCAGTAAGAATAAATATGGATGATGCCATATATAAATATGGACTTTTGTTGTTGTTCCACCATTCTAAATGCATTAACACTTAAATGACTCAATGAATTAAAGAAAGAATTCCCGCCCTACATTGCACCAAACAGACTTCAACTGGCAAAGGCTGAAAAATTTGTTACTTGCTACATTTATAAATAATCAAATAAACACTTCAGGGAGAGGTGGTATCAAGTCGTAACGGATTTGATAATGCTGATACTTAGCATTAATTAGCAATGAGGAGGGCAAACTAGATGGGGGAGCGAACAGAGCACTGGGCCTGGAGTCAGGAAGACATCTTCAAATCCAGCCCCTGACACTAGCTGTGTGACTTTAACCCTGTTTGCCTCAGTTTCCTCATCTGTAAAATGAGTTGGAGGAAGAAATGGCAAACCACTCCAGTATCCAATTTGCCCCCCCTCCAAAACAAAACAACCCAAAATGGGTTCGTGGAAAGTCAGACACAACTGAAATGGTTAAACAACAAGGAATGAAGAAAAGAAAGAAGAAAATATTTAAATTAGACCCATCACTGGTTAATGATCAAATTCTGGTCATCAGAACATGCGCGTCATGATTAGTTACAGTAAAAAAGTATCACACACGACTCAAAAGTGGCTTCTGAATTCTGACAGAATACACACAAAAGTAAAATTGCTTTTACTACCTCCTTTTAAAAACATTGAGCAGATTCATTTATTTTGTCATTACTTACAACTCAAAAAGCAAATAACTGAAATAACTCCATGCATTAAACTAAGCACTGCGCTGACATACAAAAGAAAAATAAATTTTGGATTTAAACCAGATTTGGCAAATATACTTAACAGTTCACCTTAAACATATTTTGGGGTGAAGTCAATTTATATGTACAAAATAGTTTTTATTTATTTTAGTTGTCACAGAAACCTTGCAACATGAGATTAAAAAAGTAAAGACAGAAAGCTTAAAAACCAGACCCTCATTTAACTTTCTTCTCCTTGAAGAACTCTGAACTAAATATGCAAGTCCATCTCTATCTAAATTTTACTTTTTACTGCTACTGCTGATAGTTCTCATTTATTACACAGAAGAAAAGATTTACAAATATCAACTTGTCTTCTTTTTGCTTAAATAAGACTTCTCATAAAAAAACAAACAAGTTGAAAGAATATGACTGATACTTACATTTTTACTAGGTACACACATGGGCGTGCCTTGTTTCACTTGACCTGCTTCAACAATTACACCCATCACTATTGGATCTCGTGAATTGAAAATAAATTGGGGGAGTATTTTCATTTTACAGGGAAACACTGCAATATGTCTAAACAGAGAAAGAACAAGAAGATTTTAAGCTGGTACCTTAGTTCACTCTCCAAAACAGATACTGAAAGGCACAATTTGAAGTTCTTGTGAATAATAAAATGTAAAAGCAGAAGAAATACTGTTCCTTGGTTCCTAACTCCAGTGCCCAGCCTAGATCACAATGAAACTAGAACACTGCACTCTGAGGGCTAAGGCCCTCCAGTGGAATGGTTCCCCAGCAGTCCCACATTAAACTATTACTGAAGAGCAGGGGGGACAGTCACACTGACATACATGTCAAACGGCCCAATTGTATGACTCACTTTGGACATTCCAATTCCATCATTTTCTCTCCACATCCCTCTTGCCCAAAGGTCCTTTAACATCAGATTTGAAGCTTCTACTTAGGAGGTCATGAAGCTATGAGCCCTCTATTTTGCCACATGGATGTGTCTTTCGCATTTCATGGAAGACTCTATTGGATAGGACTCTTGTCCAAATTTAGAAACTGCCCTTTCAATGGTTGGTAGCTATTTCATGTATGTCAAACTAGAACTTTAAAAAGCTAAATACTGGAAATGGCTCCACAGTCGCCAAATGTATGTTATGAGTGATACAAAAACTTGTCTCTACAGCGTCCTGGTATGAAACATTAAACTTTACTACCCAGTAACAATCATTAACTTACTTGAATTCTTCTTGCTTCTGTTTCTTATAGTCTTGCCTATATTTCGTAAAAGCATCAAACAAATGGTAAATAATTTCTGCACTAAAAATCCGGACTCCTAAACTATCAGCCATTTCCTGAGCATCACGTTCAATCCTCACATCAAAAGCCAAAATTACTGCATATCTGCAATTAAAAGAAATCAACCATAAAGACATTTCAATACAAAACTAAGAATATGTCAAAGTGAGCCTTTCCAGAAGACAGGTAAAAGTAACAGGAAAGAGAGCTAAAGGTCATTTTAAAAACAGAACTAAATAAATGTTTAAAAAAAATTAATAACAAAAATCACTCACTGAGGATCATGTTCCAACATCACTGAAGCCTTCATAACATCTTTTTTATGAACAGGGCCTATGTTAATTCCAGCATACTATTAAAAAAAGGGGGGGGGAGAAAATTTAGAAGATTAGTTTATCATCTGAGATATCATTAATAGCGCTGCCATTGAACATTATTTTTTGGACCATATTAAGTTAGTGAACAAGCATTTATAGGTACTGTGCTAAGGACTGGAAATACATAGGAAAGCAAAAGAAAGTTTCCGCTCTCGTGAAGCTCACAGTGTAAAGGGAGAATGCCCACAAGTAAAAAAGCACCAAAAACAAGAAGGTTACAAATAAGATAGATACAGGACAAATTGGAGATAATCAACAGAGGGAAGAGCTAAGGCTTCTTGCAGAAGCTGAGATTTTAGCTTAGACTGGACAGAAGATGGGAAAGTGAGGAAGTAGAGATGAAGCAGAGCTCCAGACAGGGGAGACAACCAGGAAAAATGCTCAGAATTGGGCAACAGAGTGCTGAATGCAAGGAAGACTAGTGTCACTGGATTACTGAATACCTGGAAGAGGTAAAAGGTATAAAAAGACTAGAAAGTTAAGAAGGGAGAAGGTAATAAAAAGTTCTGAAGGGCAAAAAGATGATTTATATTTGATCGTGCAGGCAATAAGGCACCTTTGGAGTTGGGATCACTTCGATAGCTCAGTGGACAATACACAGGAGCAGGAAGGGACTGGATCCAAGGACTATCAGCACAGTCCAGGCATGAGGTGAGGAGGTCACGCACCATGGAGGCGAGCTTCACAGGAGAGGAGGGCGTGTGTGTGAGAGATGCTGCAAAGGTAGAACTGACAGGACTGGGCAAATGATTGGCTATGGGAGACAAAGGAATAAAGAACCAAGGGTGACACCTCGGTGTTGGGCACTCAAAGTAACGCGGTGGACGGTAATTACATCTACAGTAATACACAAGTTAGAAAGAGAGGAGGTCATAAAGGGTTCTATTTAGAACAGGATGAATTTAAGATGTTGACTGGACATCTAGCTGAAGATGTCCAATATTCAGTCTGAGAAGTGAGAATGGAGGCCAGGGGCTAGGTCAGGGTGGACAAATCATTAAGAATCATCTGCAAGGAGATGGCAGTTGAAAACTGAGGAGCTGATGAGAGGAGGAGAGAGCACTTGGGGACACCCAAGGTTAACAGGTATGACCTGAAGAAGATCCAGCTCAGAGACTGAGAAGGAAGAGTCAGCCAGAGAAGAGAACCAGGAAAGAGCAGTGTCACAGGGTCTGGAGAAAACAGTACCGACAAGAAAAGGGAAGCGGAGTGCCAGAGGCTGCAGAGGCCAAGAAGAGTAAGAACTGAGAAAAGGTGATTAGTAGCTAACAGTTTCACTTGAATTGAGTGCAGAAGTCCAACTTCAGAGTTTTGAAAGGAGTGAGAAGCACTACTGCAGATAGGAAATGGAGGCACTGAGTGTAGACAGCTTTCTCTATGAGTCTAGCCACAAAAGGACATGAGGCATATGACCACAGCTGTCAGAGACAGATGAAATGAGGAGGTTTTGAGGATGGGGAGATCTAGGCATGTTTATAGGCAAGAAAGAAGCAGTCAGAAGACAGAAATAGTGTAATACATACATGAAACAGGGATGACAGAGGGCCCAATGCAAGATGGAACGCAATCATGTGCAGATAGAGGGGTTAGCTGTGGCAAGAAGCACCACCCCCTTCCTGTAAGACAGGGGTGAAGGAGAAAAGTGGCAGAAGGCATCTTGATGTGAAATGAGGCTGGATGGAGAAAAGAGAGCTCTAAGCCCAAAGCCTCATTTTCAGTAAAATGTGAGGCTAGGCTCTCAGCTGAGGGGCTTGGAGTTTTAAGGAGGGATGGATGTATGGTCTGAAACAGCCCCTGAGGAGAGTGGGATGGCAAGTTGAGGAGGGACTGCCTTGGACCAGCTGAGGTTATGCAACACAGATCTGTAGCGAAGCCAGGTAGCAGGTTCGTGATTTTCTTAGGCTTACTTCAGCAGGACATGTGAAAGAATAAAGGAAGAAGGCAGTGGGAATTCCACAAGGCTGAGGATTTGGCAGGGCAAGATCTTTGGTTGAACACCGGAGCAAGGGATTTAAAAGGAGAAAGAGAGCAGGGCGATGCATTCAGGGGTCAAGAGGGCGAGGGGAAGAGGGCACAGCCAGCAGAAAGGTGATGGCTGGGCAAAGAACGGAAGAGTTTGGAGATCACAGTGAGGGGGACAAATGAGTCTTAGGCACAGGGAGAAGTAGAAAGAGCAGATTATGATAAGATAAAAGAACTTCAGAATTCGTGAACATAGAAATGGTGCATTTGTGGGCAACTGCAAGATCAAGCGTGTAACCCTCATTGTCTGCAGGGTAAAGAAGCAGGTCATGGAAATGAATAAGGGGAGGAATGGAAAGCTCGTGTGCTTGAGGGAGTATCTGTCTACCTGTATGCTCAAGTCCCCCAGCAGGAGCACAGGCTACAGGGAGGAAGACTGTGAGCCAGGCACTGAACTCAGAGAGGAAGGGGATGTCTCAGAGGCCTGCACTCCTCCACAATCTTGACAGGGTGATAAATAAAGACGGAACGAAACTCGGAGAAGAGAGCATACAATGGAGAACAAAGAATAACAACTCCTCAACCATGTCTGGGATTTGGAGGTTTTGAGTCAAAGTACAACCAGGGCTGGAGAAGAGAACCAGGGAAGCTATGTCAGAAGGAAGCTAGAGCTTTATGAGTGTAATAAGGAGAAGGAGCAAGAAGGACAAAAAGACTCAGAATGAAATCTAGTTTCTTAAATTATAGAAACTGGCATCCCAGAGGGCACAGGGTAAGGTCTGGGTAGCTTAAAAGTAGGAGATTAGGTTGAAGAGGATGGGAATTAAGTAGTGGTCAGCAATGGGAGCCCAAGATTCAGAATCCTGAGGATGGGAAAAGTAAGACAGAAGTATATCAGTCATTGACAAACAAGTCATTTAATTAACATTAAGTTGGGCATTGTTACTTACTGGCACTTCTGAAGTTTTTAAAAATTCAAGTAATGCCTCTAAAGAGCCCAACGTGGAAGCCTGCACATAGACACCTTTTTCTTCTAATTTGATAGCATTTAATGTTTGTTTTAATTCATGAATCAGCTCATCCTTGAAAAGAAAACATAAAAACGAGGCTCAAATGATCTCTCTCCCAATAAAATAACAATATAAACAAAATAACAACCAAACAAATCCATTTTGTCATATATCTCTACTCCTCTAGGTTGAGTATTCCTTACTGGAGATTACTAACAAAGCTCTAAAAGATTTACTGTGTGGCAGAAAATAGTACGGCTTAAGGGTCACTATCATCTATACATGAAGCTTCCTGTCTGTAAAATGGAGATTCTAATTGCCCTACCTGTTTGAGGCACAGTTGATTCAAAAAGGAGACTGCAACTATGAAGGTATATTATTATAATTAACCCTCCCGCATATAAAAAAGTTCAGAAATATAGGAAATCTTTCAATTTCAGCTACTCCTTGAGCTATGTCTCTGAGGAAACAACAAAAATGTTATGTGAAGAAGAAATTTTAATTTGTAAATGACTGAGATATTTAAAAAGCACCAACAGCTAGAAATATTTAAATTCTTTCTTAAGAGGCCATAACTGTATTCTTTGTTACAATTACATGTGTTTAACTACAAAAAAAAATTTTTTTTAATTCTTACTTTGAGAACTGGGACTTCATCCTCTTTATGAGCCACTAGCAGTGGCAAACCCGCTAATGTTTTCTCCAAGTCTTTTCCAAGAATCTTTACACCTTGAGCAGCTTCTACTTCTTTATGTTTCTCATATTGGTTCTGAAGAGACAAAATAAAAAGTGTAAAATATTAACATTAAGATTCTACTACAATCTCCCTCCCCGCTCCTTCTTTAAAGCAGCAAGAGAGTCTTATAAGGAACCTATGATGGCAGATCTCAACAGTGACATTTCTAAAGGTAAAAGAGCAAAGTCACAGTCTTTGGAACCATCCAACCTTACATACCTTCACTCGCAGTTCCTTCATGGGAGGAGGTAACAGAAGACCTCTAATCTGGGTTACAATAGGACCTTCCACTCCAGGAACAATAATTGTATCTCCTTCCTTTAGACGCCCATTTATCAATATTACATCTATTGTGGTACCCATGCCAGGAAGTGCTTTAACCTAGAAAAGATACATTATTTAAGTGAATGAGCTACATGCCACTATTTAACTTGTACATTAAAATTACAAAGAGGAAAACACAATGATACGAAATCCCCATCAGACAGGTCTTTTGGGAAGCAAAAGAATTTCTAAAATGCTATTTACCTCCATAACCTGAGCTCTCAGTTCCTCACACTGTGCCAGTCTCTTGCTCAGCATAGTCTGAGTTAATTCAACAAGAAGTGCAATCAGACTTCCCATGCCATCTCCAGTATGAGCCGAGGTAGGAACCAAGGAAACAAAAGTACGAGGATCCTTATTCTCATAGAACAAAGCAGCATTCAGGCCCTGGTGAGTAAAAGGCAAAAGCAAAATCACTGAGAAAATGCCGGACTCTGTGTGTGTGTGTGTGTGTGTGTGTGTGTGTGTGTGTGTGTGTGTGTGTGTGTACGCGTGGGTAGCGGGGGGAATAAAAATATTTAAAAACCGAGAAAAAGAATAGACTATCTAGAAACCGACAAATGATATCTGCAAACACTGAGTCACAACCCCATCACTATTTGCTCAAAAAGCTCACTTGAAGAGCAATGCTAAGTTATATACAAGGAACTTAGATGGCCTCCTTTCCATCTCAATTCAAGTTTCCAAAATTAAAAAAAGCTTACAAAGGGCGCAATGATGGCTATTGGATGCACCTCCATGAAACTGGCCAGAAAAGGGAATTAAGAAAACAAAAATGCTATTTCATTTATATATCAGAAAAAACAGTAAAAGAAAAATGTTTTTATGGCATTTCATTGCCTTATTTGAAGAAAGAGGAGCTAACCTGCTGTGCAAACTCCACAATGATGGCCTTTGCCCGCTCCTCAAACTCATCCTTGGTGTTCTTCTTCTGCTTTTTTAAAGTTGCCGCCACATCCGAATCTGGGCTCTTTTTCCAGTCATACAATCGATCAATCTAGAAAAGTTTCATCACTAATAACATTTCTAACATTTTTGCTGAGAAACACAACATATGCAATTCATGTAACGATTAAGTATCTAATATGATCAAGTCTGGGCCTCCTCATGGGTCTGGTGGGCACTACTGCTTTCTGACCACTGCCTAGCCAACATCAGAATGAGGTGGTTGCTGGTGGTGATGACAGTCAACCACAATTCCTTGGGGATGACCCTGTCTGTACTAGGTCTGACTAGCACTGTTAACTGGTTAGTGGAGGGATAAAAAGACTGATGCTAAAAGTATGTGTAAGAACTATGCTAAGGACTGCAGATACAAGGATGTAAAATTATATAATTCCTGCTTTCAACAAGCTTACAATCTACTAGGGGCTTTAAAACACGTAACAGGACGAAAGACAGAATGGCAGTGGAACATGACTATGCTGTAAGAAATGATCAATGTGATGAACAGAGAAACATGGAAAGATTTACACAAACTAATGCAAAGTGAAATACAAGAGCCAAGAAAACAATATACACAATGCCTACACCAAAATAAATGGAAATACACACACACACACACACACACACACACACAAACACACACATATTCTCTCTCACGAAAAATGAAAGCTGTAAAATTAAGAAGCACAGTTCAAAGACTTAAGAGAAGACCCCCCCATTCCACTTTTATGCAGAGGTGAGAGGTCAACAAGATCTGTACACTGAAGACATTTTCAGATTTTTTTTTGATGTAGCTTAGTTATACGGGCTTTTTTTCTTCTTTTTCCTTTTTTAAAACATCTTTTTAATATGCATTATATATTTGTTATTTGTTATATAGGATAGCTCATTGGAAGGGGACACTGGAAGAATTATGGTAATGATGTTTAAAAAACAAGACATCAATTTAAGCTTATTAAAAAAAGATCAGTAGCAGTACAGGAGCATATCCAGAAAATGACCATGACATCCTCCAAGTACTGCATTAGATGACATAATATCAAAGTGATTTAATGTTATACACTAGCACCTGTTTAACAACGCACTTTATAACTTCCCATCCTGACTTACCATAAACCATGAAACTAATAACCTCCTCCATATCTCTATGGCCCAGGGACCCCTGATTGGAGATGGTAGAGAGTGAAAATCTAAGAGCTCCTCCTACATCCCTGATTTAAGGAGGCCAACCAGTGCAGTTACCTCATTATATCATACCCAACTGTAGGTCTTCCTGTATCCTTTCCTCCCCACCTCCCAACTTTTAATGTGCTGTCCTCCCCTCATTACACTGTAAGGTCCTACTATCTATCCCTAGTGCTTAGTATAAAGTTTACTGACAGATTGATCACATTTAGATTTATCATTCTCGAAGTATTTGGTGTGCTAAAATATTAACTTATCAATTACATTGATTATAAGTTCCTCTGGTGCAGAGATCATATTATATTCCTTCAACACGTCTATAGCACAGTCCTAAGCAAAGAGTAGGTACTTACTACTTGTAGAATTGGCTATATAAACTTGGGCAATTGTTGTTGACTCATTCCAGTCATGTCCAACTCCTTGTGACCTCATTTGGGGTTTTCTTAGCAAAGATACTAGAACGCTTTGCTATTTCTTTCTCCAGCTCACTTCACAGATGAGGAAACTGAGGCAAACAGGGTTAAGTGATTTGCCCAGGGTCACAGTGCTAATAAGTGTCTGAGGTCAGATTTGAACTGAGTTCTTCCTGATTCCAGACCTGGAACCCTATCCACTGTACCACGTAGCTGACCCAGATTTGGGCAAACAAAAGATCAAATCCTGTCTTCAACTTAATTACACAGAGTAAAATGCCTAGTAACTTATAAGTGTAGGTGCTGAACGTGAAACTTCTAGAGCAACATTATTATAAATAAATGTCACTGAATTGGGGATAGAGACTTCATATTATGAAGATGGTAAAATCTCTTAATACAGTGAGCTACATTCAAGAGGCCACAAGTCCCTGGGGAAACATACAGACTAAAAAAATTAAAATAAAAAATGAACAAGCAAGAGTAAAGCATAAAACATAACCTTCAGATATAACCCTTTCCTCTTAATTCCTTCTCCTGTTTAAAGCTAAGAAACAGCAAGATTCAAACACAATCATGTCTTAACAAGATTGGCAATGGTAATAAAACTGACACTTAAAAGAAATGAAGTCACTTCAAGCACCATTATACAAACACACACATATACCAACACACTTTTTAATTTTCATATGTAACAACTTTTCACGTGCCCTTAGATTCTGAACCAAAAGTATTTACAGAGTTTGAGAACAATAACTATAACTGCAACTAATTTTACTACACAACTACATTACAAACCTTGATGTACATGTTCCTGCTCGCTCACTCGCTCTCTCTCTCTCTCACACATGCACACACGCACTTTCTTAAGAGACAGCTTACCTTATTGAGTGCTACAATGAAGGGACATTTTTTAGATTTCAGTAGGTTGATAGATTCAATTGTCTGTGGCTCCAAACCATGCATGATATCAACAACTAAAATGGCAATATCACAAAGTGAGCTCCCTCTGTTCCTAAGATTACTATTAAAAAAGGAGGGGGAAAAAAGGTATATATAAGAAGATGAAACAGAGACTCCCAAACTTAACTCAGATTGCAGGATCATCTATCTAAAGCTGGAAAAGACCTTAAGGCCATGTGACTTAAATGTTTCCTTTTATAAAGAAGGAATCTGACACTCAGAGAAATTAACCAACTTGCCCAAAATCACAGCAGTGGAGCCAGGACTGAAACACAAATCCTGACTTCAAACTCAGTGCTCTTTTTCACTGCTTCAGAATTCTTTTAACCCTCTCAGTATAATCAATATTAACAGAACTAAGTGGAAAATGTGGTACAAACATGACAGTAACCTTAATGTGTGATTATCTGATCAAAATGAGATGAACAATACACTATGTCAGTGAATCAGACCTAAAGTAAATTCTTTTGATATCTCCACCAGTTTCACCAACAGACTTCAAAGAATATAAACAAAAGACTAGAGGAGTGCACTATCTGATTCTTGGGCTGAGCATTAGCAGCTACTGCCCTGAGGCCACAGTCATATCTACTTTCCATACAATAAAAGTGATTGATATTCCCAATTAAAGTAGAAAAAAAAGTTCACACCACTAACATTATTATTTCCTATATCAATTTGTATGCATACATTCAATTCAGAAAACCTGTAAACACAACAGTACATCACAAATTAACAAAAGTCAAATTGACCATAGATGGGAAATTATTTAACACATTTGAAGAAAACAGCTGAAGAGAACTTCACTTTAGAGTAAAAACTGAGGTTTTTTAAGTTTGTTCTTACCTGAAAGATTCGTGGCCTGGTGTATCAATTATAAGCATCCCAGGAATCTTTATGTTCTCTCTGTCAAACTAACATTAGGAAATAAGACAAAACAAATATACAAGAAGCACAAACACAATACTTCAAAAAGCTAGACCCTCACTGAAAGCAACCCATCAATTTATATGCTAGCTACATTGCTTTCAACACTAAGAGAACCCAAATGTTCAGTCCTTCTTTTTCTGTTTAATTTGCTCTAAAATAAAATAGGTGATTAAATAATTAGCAAACCCCAGCATTTATCTGTGACATATAGAACTGAATAGGTAAGATGTGCACGTGCACACACACAATGTAACAGAAATACTCAACTCTGAAAAACCTTTTGTTAAATATACCATAAAAGGTTCAGTTACTTTGTAACTAGAACTTATAAAAGAGTGAAACCTAAGTTCTATTATGCCTTTTTAAATAGCTAAATCATCAAAGGGGGCAATCAAGCAGTTTGAAATTTATATAGTCCAATTTCGAAGAGATTCTAAAATTCTGGCTACACGCTCCAAGCCACACATATCAACCTCAAATTTGACAAATTAAAGAAAATATCTGAGCCTATGCTATTTATACAGTACAACAATATTTGGTTTTCCTTATAAGTAGGTATATAAACAAACTGCAATCAAAAGATCACATTATCCACTGCTATGAACAGTTTTCAAGCTATGGAAAATTCATTTAGCATATATGTTGCAAATTCAAATATTTTCAATTTAAGATATTTACAAAAATGCCTCAAAAGGTATACAAATTTCCTTGATTACATAAGGAAGTCAGGCTAGATTAATTCTAACTTAATGTGAATTGTGGAACATAATTGCATCTAAACACTTACATTTACATTTTTTTAAATATGGAGAATATAGCATATACACTATTTGATACATAAAAATGAAACTCAGAATTTCAGATCAAATCTAGAAAGCACTATCTACATTCTGAAGACTACAATCTAAACTACAAAGTGCCCCCCCCATACTTACGTTCTTCACCATCTTTGTCTGTTCATTAATAGCTTCAAGGGGAACATTAGTGGCTCCTATTTGCTGAGTAATACCACCTGCTTCACCATCTTGTACATGAGTATGACGGAGCTAGGAGAAAATGATAAATACAAAGAAGCATTCAAAAACTAAAGAAAAAAAGAAAAATAATGCAACATGAGGAACATTTTTAAACAATTTTAATTCTTAATTATTTCTAAGAATAATTCATTTACATTTTTAACAATGTATGTAAACAATAGTAGTCTAGAAATGAAGCGACAAAATTAACCCACTAAAAAATTAAAAGCATAGTTCGTAAACTATTTTCTTACCTTATCTAAAATTTTAGTCTTTCCTGTATCTACATGTCCTAGTACACAGATAACAGGGGCTCTTAATTTTTCTGTATTTACATTTTTGCTATTTTCAAGTCTCCGTTTCTAAGACAGAAAGAAATAAAATTAAATATTTCAATTTAATTTAACAAAACATATTACGTATAAGGCACCATGCTGGGTACTGGGTTACAAAGATAGCTTTGAAATACAGTTTGCCCTTAAAGACTTATAATCTGAAAGAGAAAAACAGATGTGCACAAAAAATTGAAGACATGAGCGCCCCCAAATCATACGAGGGAAAATGAGATACGTAAGAGAGAGGTCCAGGAAAAATGCCATGAAAAGTTTAAGAAAAGTCAGCTTTTACTCTTGTAGAGGGATAGCAGAAATTGGAGGAAAAGGTCTGTAGAGGTTTGATGAAGAAATAGCAAGTAGAGCAAACCCTGAAGGAAAGGAAAGACCTAAGTTAAAACCTTCACCACTATTCAATTTTTAGCCAGGTAAGACTCTGAAGAATACCTGGCCTAAAACTTTATCAGGAAGGGAGGAAACTGCCAAGAGAAATTAAGGGACTTTGCTAAGACCAAACAGCTTGTTTTTGTTTTTTTTGTTTTTGTGAGGCAATGGGGTGAACTGACTTGCCCAGGGTCACACAACTAGTAAGTGTATGTGTCTGAGGTCACATTTGAGCTCAGGTCTTCCTGAATCCAGGGCCCGTGCTCTATTCACTGCACCATCTAGCTGCCCCAGACCATTCAGCTTGTGACAGTACTGGTACCAGAATCTAAATCTCCACCCAAATACTACAGATAAAAATTTGCATCACAGATTGCATTTTTTCAGATTCTGAACCATTACTGCAGTCTCCTTGCAGAATGTTAACTGTGTTTGTCGTATATCGGGGTGTGTGTACATGTGTGTGTGTGCATGTAGCAACAAACCTTCAGTAATAAGGTTCTAGAAAGGTTTCCTTTGTGAGGCGGTCCAAAGGAAGAATCTAAGAGACTCAAGGGAAATCCTCCTCTATCTGTCTGACCACTCCTCAATCTCCTTTCTTGGCCCTCTTCTCTTCTCCCTCTACACGCTTCACTTAGTGATCTCACCAGCTCCCAAAGATTTAATTATCATTTTTATGCTGACGATTCTCAAATTTACTTATTCAGCCCTAACCTCTCTGCAGACCTGGATCCAGTCTTGTATCTTCGCCTGTCTCGTGGACAACCCAAACTAGATGTCCTGCACACATATTAAATCTAAACGTCTCTAAAACTAAATATGCCTCCCTCTAAATCTTCCCCCCGTTCCAAATTTCCCTATTGCTATGAGGGCCACCACAATCCTCCCAGGCGGACAAACTTAAAACCTAGGTGTCATCCTCTACTTGTTGCTCTCTCTGACTAACTACATCCAATCTGCTTCCAAGGCCTAGCGATTTTACCTTGGGAACATCTCTGTCTCTCACACTGCCCCCATCCTGCAGCAAGACATCATTATCTCACGCCTGGACCATGGCAATAGGCTGCTAATAATAAAGTGGCCTGCCAGCCACAAATCTCTTCCTACTATAGTCCATGTTCCGTTCAGTCACTAAAGGGATTTTCCTGAAGTTGCAATCTCACCTTATTGCCTCCATATTCAATAAACTCCAGGGAACTATCACATACATGATGAAAAACAAAACAGTGTATCTAGCATTCAAAGCCCTTCCTAACCTAGGCCCCCTACCTTTCCAGTCTTTTTACACCTTATCACTGCCCCCACACTCCGCACTTTTCAATCCAGTGACACTGGCCTTCTTCCTTGTTGTTCCATTAACAGGATACTCCATTTCCCTACTGTGCACGTTTTCTCTGGCTGTTCTTTAAATATGGAATGTTTTCCCTCATCTCTCCTTCTTTATTGGCTTCTCTGACTTCCTTCAAGTTTCAGCTAAAATCCTACCTTCTGAAACAGGAAGCCTTTCCTAATTCCTATGAATTCTGGTGGATCCCTCTATTAATTACTTCCCATTTATCCTGTTCATAGTTTGACTGTATTTATTAGCATATTGACTCTCCCATTAGACTGTGACATCCTTGAGGAGAAGGACTGACGTCTTCTGCCTTTCTTCAGCACTTACAACAGTTCCTGGCACATAACAGGCAATTAAGAAATGCTTACCAAATAACTCAAGTAACTCCAAGTAATTTTTTAGAATGTTTGGACCAATTCACCAACTCCATCGATATATACCTAATTACAGTGTATTAAGTGTGGCTATCTTCAAGCAGGACGACCAGCATTGCCTATTAACATCCTATCATCTTTATCAATTTCTTAAGTATAAAGTGAAACCTCAGAGTTAAAACTCTGATCTGTATTTCTGTCAGAAAGTCCAAAAACTGTTATTAGCAATTGATAGTAAGGTTCTTAATGGTTAACAGTATTCAGTTCTTCTGATGGGAACTATTCATTCTGATCTTCGGTTCATCCATTGGAAAATGGCTCTTTGTCTCACATCCCTCTACACATCCTGGATACCAAGCCTTTATTGACAGCTATATGATGTACAGTTTTTTCCTTAAACTGGTATCTTCCCTCCTTACATGAGCTGCAATAATTTTGATTTTGGTAGTACAAAAGATTTTCAGTTTCATAAAATCAACATTACGGGCCTTTGGGGGGACTGCCTCTATCACTTGTTTGATTATGAATTATTTTCTCTAGCCACAGTTATGAAAGCTACTTCGGCAGGTTCTTTTCTAAAAATTATTTTTTACAACTTTCCAGCTATAGGTCAAGGGTCAGCCTCATCTATTCACTGGTATGGTGTGTATTTTTGCCTCTTGGTTTTACTTCAGACAAAATAACCTTATTATGTACAGATTCTGTACAACCTACACATCTTTTCTTAATTCAAAATTTACCTTAGACCTAGCCTTTTCATCCTGTTGGGTAGTTTAAGCCAAAGTATAAAACACGTAGCCTACACATTGCAGCCTGCAATATTTCCAAGTGTAGCCTAAATCAAAATGGGAAGTAGTTAACAAAATAAATAAAAATACAAAACACTGTTAAATATGTAGTTTTCTAAGTCAATACGCACCTGTAAGGATCCTTATGTACAGTGCAGCAGCCCTCATTTCTACTTAAGTCATTATTTGGATGGCCTTTTTGCCACGAAAAGAAATGCTTAGCTGTTCAGTGTGCAAACAATTATGCTACAACATCAGAGAAGCGAAGCGCATGGCACCCCTTGTGACCCCGTAGAAGTGTTTAAGATTTCTGAGTGCCACTCAGCAGCCTTTGGCCCCCTTTGTTTTGTCCTCTGAGACCAAGGCTTTGTTTTCTTCTAATACATTCTTCTCTAATGAAATCCTCTTATAGAAAGAAATGTAAGGTTCTCATTTCACTGCTTCCTCCTTTCTCTGAAACATCAAGCTTATAACCCTTTTCTGTACAGCAAAATCTGAGAACATAAATTACTTGGGGAGAATGTGTCTATTTGACAAGAACTGTAGGCAAAACCAGAAAGCTATTTGGCAGTAATTAAGGTTAAACCAACATCTTACTCCATCTTCCATAATAACTTCAAAATGGATAGTTAACCAAGTCCTAGGCCTCACACCATCAATGCAAAGATAGGGAAGTTAAGTAATTCCAAGAAAAAAAAATGTTTTTAATGTAAGCATACTACTTTGAAATAAAGAAGCAGTAAGTCATGACTTCTGGATGATTTTTCTATGGAAAAACCCTCCAATGGCTTTCATTAGAAGTCCTATAGAGTACTTATGTTTTCCAACATGAGGTTCCAGAGGATAACCTGCTGTCAAGCATATGTCATATGGTGTATAAGTTCTACAGAAAGCATCATTAAGATAAGGAACATCTGAAAAATGCTGATGGCTATCGGGGAGCCAGTAAAGATTAGTATGCTTACGTTATCTGGACATGTCTGTACAGTCACTCTGCAAACCTGACAAACAGGTAATTAAAGGGTCCGCTATACAACCATTATACATACGTTACTCATACAAGATCATTAGTCAGCAAGTGCTTCTTATGTAGCACTACCTGCAAAGAGCTAGAGGAAATATGAAGACAGAAAGCAACAGGTGTCAGACAAGTCAAATCACTACCGCTACATTTGCTACTATTTCCTCTCAAACCCTGATGGAAAGTTCTAGGAGAAAAAGAGAAATGGGGAGACTAAGGAGAGGGAGGGAGGAAAAGAAAGGACAAAGAACAAGAAAGAGAGAGAGAGAGAGAGAGAGAGAGAGAGAGAGAGAGAGAGAGAGAGAGAGAGAGAGAGGAAGAGAGCAAAAAGAGAGAAAGAGACACTGGCAAAGCTGCAGAAATCATAAGGCATATGGTCCATTCTAAAGGGAATAATCCATTCGCCCAGTTCTGGAGAAAAGTAAACTTTCATCTAAAGTTCAGAGACTTAGTTGAGAAAGACACTAAAATAAAACACCTCAGTGTGGGTTAAGGAGGGAAACAAGATGACCACGATCACAACCAGATAACACGATAAGGATCAGTCTGGAGAAGAAGGGTGATACTGCAGCTGTATTTCTCATCAATGAAGGGTAACCATGTGGAAAAGGGACTAGACTTATGTTGTAAGTTCCAGACAGTAGAACACAAAATAACGTGTTACGTAAACACAGGTACAGGGACTTGCTATAATATCAAATTGCTCTTAGCTGTTTGCATGATATAAATATATTGGAGAAAGGTGGTCCACAAATGCCCTTTCCTGCAAGGATACCATCACCTCTCCCACCCTTCCTTTAAATATCAGACAACAAATATAAATCCACAAATAATACTTACAGAACCAAACACTGCTAAGAAGCATGCTTTCAGAATACTTTTGGATTATCAATTACAGTTAAGGATGAAATTTTTTAAAACCTTGAAACAGTAATGCCAGATTTGGGGGGTGGGGTGGAAGGGAGAGACACAGTCCTGCTCCCCTAACAAAGTCAAAATACTTAACAGTTAAAAGAGGTCATCAGCAGTAACTGATCAGCCTCAAATATGTGATGTTTCAACATAGCTGGGAAGAAGGCAAAGTCCCGTAAAAAAGGATAATACCAAATATATAAAGTCACCTGGTTCTGAAAGTGTGCAGAAAACAAGAACTCTAAGTAATGAAAGAAAATTCATCCTCCTTTACCAAAAGAAGGAGCAGTATGCACGCCCTTCTGAGCAGAAGCGGGGACACAGAGAGCGAGGAGGGGTGAATATGAGAGAGACTATACCTCAATTCTCCTCTTTGCTTTATCATAGGCCCGCTCTTCTTTAGTTCGGTCATCATCTGAGTCATATTCAGACTCAGAGCTGAGTTCTTTACTTTGTTTTTTGTCTATTGATGGCTTGCCAGTATCTTTTTCATCTGAAACCTTTTCTTCTTCATCATCACCTTCACTTCCACCACTTTCTCCTTCATCTTCCTCATCCTCACTCTCTTCCTCCTCCTCTTCCTCTTCTTCTTCCTCCTCTTCCTCTTCTTCTTCAGGGTTTTCTTTTACTTCAATATGCACAGTGTTTCTTTCTGTCAAGAAAATATTTTGGCCATTTAAAAAAAGGTGGTTTAGAAATACTTAGTCCCTAATGAAAAGGTAATTTCATTATCCAAAAATAAAATAATACATCCAGAACTAATAAGGCATATATATCAATGTTAAATGTTAGATGGTGTAGAAATAATTTGGTGCCAAATTACAAGTTAGGAAACCTATATGGCTTATCAATCTGAAAATGCAGGATCCAGAGGAATGGGATGAAATACAGCTAAGGCAAAGAGGCCACCTAAAAAGCTGGCAATCTAACCATTCTTTTCCCCCTGATCTCTCAAGGCAACTTCAAAGGGGGATAGGAAAGGGAAAGATAAATTCCTGAGCCTTCATTTAAATGCCAAATTCTGTTTTCCTAATTTGCCCATTCTTTCACATCTCTGATCTATTTCTCATCCCCAATTTCACCCTCAAGACCTCTAACCAGTACCATAGCATCTTTCAAAAAAACCAATAAACCTGCTCCTTAACAGGTTTTCATGCACTAGAGGGATTAGCTGTGCTAATCACAGTGTTTAATCACAGACAGCAAAACTAGGATCAACAGAAAAGGTCATAAAGAAGAAAATTTAGGATTTAAGATAAATTCCCCAACAAGGAAGAAGGAATTCTGTTTCAGCAGAAGTCTAACAAGAGGGCCACAAAGTTCCCTTTTTTAATTCTGAAATTCTGTGACACTATGAACCCCGCTCAAAACTCATCAGGTTCCTGGCCCCAGGCCACCATCAGTGAAATGACTTGGAGTTCTGAAAGTCCTTTCCTAGCAAGGGAGGAGACAGCCAAGAACCCATGAGAGGCCCTGGCAAACTGGCAGGCAAAGCATTATGTACTCTACTGTAGTACATGCAGATTTTAGGCTCAACAGGCTTTCATGGACTGGGCTGAGAACAAGTTAGATGAAGCTAGGAAACATCAGCAACAGCTTTAATATATGTTCCAACATAAAGCAGAAAAGTGGTATTTTAGGAAAAATTTTGGACTGTATTTTCAGTAAACGACTTACTGCCAACAAACGCATATGTACACATGCATGCATACACACAAATAAAAAACTATTTATCTAAGCCTAGAAACACGCACTTTAAAAACCTACCTTTCTCTCTTTCTTCATCACTAGCCATTGCTTCCCAATCATCCAACCCAGTATCTTCACTTTCTTCTTCTTCTTCTTCTGTAAATTAAAGATTAATCAAATATGCAGAAACTTAATCATACGAAGTTTTTAACACAATTAAAATTTTGTTCTATAGAAAATAAAAATAAAGTGAAACACATAAGCAACTTTGGAAAATATCTACAAAGCAGAAACTGTTTACTATTTACCTTTAATAAAAATCCCAAATTTTCTCCAATTAAGATATTCTGCATTTTTGCACAGGCATTCCATATTCAAAGTGTAAACAACAATAATTAAATCTCAACTGGACAGCTAAGTGGTGAAGTAGATAAAGTGTTGGGCCTGGAGTCAGGAAGACACAGCATTCCTAAGTCAAATCTGGCTCGGCTCTTACTAGCTGTGTGACCCTGGGCAAGTCACTTAACTCTTGGCCTCAGTTTCCACATCTGGAAAATGAGCTGGAGAAGGAAATGGCAAATGACTTCAGTATTTTTGCCAAGTAAACACCAAATGAGGTCATGAAGAGTTGGACACAACCAATAAAAGAACTGAACAAAAAAATCTCAACTATTAGAACTGTGAATTCTGTGCCATCAAGTATCACATACGAATTCACTGAGTTTCCATTTGAAGGAATTCTAGAACTTAATGTAGACTTTCTTTTTAATTCCTGAACTCATACAAAAAGATTTTATTATTAGGATTACAAATTTAGAACCAGAGGGTCCAAGCCCCTTACCTTCCTGTTAAGGAAGATGAAACCTAGAGAAGATGAAGACTAATTTGCACAAAATCACTGGGATTTAAACCCAAGTCCACTGACCCCAAATTCAGAACTTTCCCCAGTGATGTACTGCTAGGTCAGTTAATTATGCCCTATTCTCAACAAAACTTAGTGAAGATAAGTAAAGTGCTTTTCAGCTAAGATACGAAGATGGATGTGGATGTGGGTAAGATATGGAATTGTGTGTTCTTCATTATGAATCTTAAGAATTTGTGTATACCCTTTTCCTCTCTACTCAGATCAAAAGTACATATTAGGCATATGTAAGTTTGCAAAAAGGTAAAATATTTTTATCTGCAACTTCTCAAAAATGGTTATATGTTAAATTATACATTTTAAACATTTTTCCCATTTAGGGGGCTGGATGCATTAAAATAGTAGGACTCTTGCAAATTCTCTTCTGAAAAAGTTCAAAATTCCTTTTAAAGCTGTAGTTAATTTGGCTTCAAAATTATTTCCATGGTTTTTAAATTAGAATTTCATGTCTTCTAGTTACCTGCCCCCCACCTTCCCCATGATTTCAGGCTTCCAAAAAAAAAGGAAAAAAAATCAACAGATGAATCTGAATGCCTACCATTACCAGTGTAGTGTAACTGGGAGAAAAAAGGTATACAGAAAAGCAGGAAAAAAGAAACGTAAAAGGTCTACTTGTTTTTTTAAACAAGGATGGAACAAAGTGTTATGGAATGTCTGTCCTCTTCATTCAAGAGTGAGATCCCCCCAGCTGTCTTTCACTCATGCTACTGACCTGGTTCCACAAGAGGCAGGGACTCTTCTTTTTCTGGAATAGCTTGTTCTGTAACTTCTACTGGAACACTCACATCTATTGTTTCTAATGAAAACAGGAAATAAAATAAATACTTACTTACTGAAAAAGCTACTAAGGTACAAGGTTATTTCCATCACTTCTCTTACAACTTGAAAACTATTGCTAAATATAGAGTAAAAAAGGAAAAAGCACCAGAATTCTAATGACAAAATAAACATATTCAATATATTCCTATTCAAACTTTTTCTTCTTAAGATATAATCTATAAAACTTGAGGTTGGAAAAGGGACAAAGGATGAGAAATTTTAACTTTTGTACTTTCAGCTTCTAATGACACACAAGACAACTTATTTTGGAATACTACAGTTAACTAGATCATACTAAAAAGAGGATACAGAATCAACAAAAAAAAGATAATGCGTTGGTTGGTGACAATGATGGGAAATTGGCAAGAATTAGAGAAAGTATTACTTTTTTTTTTTTTAAAGCAGTAGAAGTCTAATAGCTGAAAGTCACAATAGAATTTGTGTCTGACTTCAGATGAGGCCAAGAAATTGAAGGTGAACAAAACTTTTAAGGCTAGAATCTAGGTAGAATGCTAACCTTCTTTATTTTCTTGTTGTGGCTGTGGTTTTTTCCTCTTTTTATCTTCATATATTGGCCTCTTCTTTGGCAAAGAATCTTTAGATGGCACTTCAACACCTAAAAGGGTAAAAGACAAAAAAGATTAAATAACAGCTGTCTCACATAGATAAAATCTTTTTTTTTTCAGAGCTTTCTATCCTTTTTCATTCTTTAGCATATAATTCTATATGTTAAACTTTCCCAATATTTTGGGGGGAAGGGGAGAGATTCTATTTTATGGCAATAACAAAAGAAAAAGAGAAATGAGGAACAAAGAAAGGGAAAGGTGAGAGAAATTTAAAAAAAAAAAAGGTCAACTTATGACTCTGAAGCCATACCAAAAACCTGTTGACCCAGAATGGAAGTAAAAGTATTGTCTTCACTGTGACTACTAAAGTCTATGGAAAACATAACAGCCCCCAGCCCCAAGCTTATCACCACAAACTCCAAATATGGACAAAGTAGGGAACCCAAAACAAAGCTCAACTGAGAGAGTCCTGAGACTTCGGCCAAAACTAGATAATTATGACCAAACCCAGATCTTCTCCATCTTAAAACAATATGGTTCAAATAAAATCAAAAGGAGAGGAAAGATACAATAAAGAAAAAAGAAGAAAGAAACCTTTACAAAAAGAGAAAAAAATAGTTTTAATATTAATGTATAGCTAGAGCTTATATCAAATTGCACACTGTTGTGGAGTGGGGAAATGGGAGAGACGGAGAAAATCTGGAATTCAAAATTTTATGGAAGGGAATGTTGAAAACTAAAAATAAATAAACAATTTTTTTAAAAAAAGAAGGAAGAAAAGAAAAAAGCCCACAGAAAACAAATAAAATAGGTAAAATCTCCACAACAAAAGGACCACACCAAGAAATATACTTCCAGAGTAGTTTAGAATCTCAGTAAGAGATATGAAGGAAAACTTGGAAATAACACAAACTCTAAAATTAGACAAGCACGAAAATTAAAAGAGTAGATGACATAATGGAAAATCTCAACAAAACAGTAGACTCCCAGAAGAGAGTGACTCAAGCAAATAAAATGCAGAGATGGAAGAGAGTAAAATTTAATGATAAGACTGGAAGATCTCAGCTCTCTAGAAAAACAAGATGTGGCACTTAAGAGTCTAGTAAGACGGTGAGTTGTTACTCAGAAAACACAAAAATTCTAGAAAAACACTCAAGAAAATTGTCAAAAAATTTTAAACAGAGGGGGCAGAGTACAAATTAACAGTCTCAGGTTCAGATGAAGAACACCAATTTTATTTAACTCTCTTCAAAATTGTAGACATCAAGCGTCAAGGCTTCAATCAAGATAGTCCCTTTCAAGAAGACTGGAGGATGCCATTTACATGTTTACAAGCACCAATTTAAATAACCTAAGACTATTTAATGAGGCTAAGAATTAAAACAATTACATCTTCCAAAAAGCAAAGGAAAACAGCCCATACGCCCCATGACTATCCTGTAAATTTGTGAAAAGATGATGAAGAAAAAACTAGGTGGAACCCCTGGCATGCTAATTGATCTGTTCAAATTTAAACAAGGAAATATAGAATTGAATGTAACTAAAGGATAACTCAATATTAACATGACGTAAGAAATTTACACGAGTAACTTTTGTTATAAGGATTATTAAAAAGAAAAATAACAACCAAAGAGTAGACATGAGGAAAAATCCCTTGAAAGGGATCAATAAAATCATCCCGAGCACTGAATGTAATTTTTCTTTTAAATCAGATACCACGTGAGGAAAAAGGATAGGAGTAATTTCTAAACCAGATTCTTATCTAAAATAAGGAAAAAACAAATGCAAAAAATTAAAGGAAAAAATTGTATGTATAAAAACAGAATCCCTGGACCTGTCTTTGGTATGAGCAGAGGTTGAATGGTTGAGATTGATTTGTTATAAAATAAAATAAAAGATACTATTTATGAAGTTTATGATGTGAGAAGGAATAAGATTGAGCTCTATATTAGAACAAACTGTATAAGTAGCTTGCATTGAGAACTGAAAAATATAATAATAGGATCTAATGGAGAAAAAACCAAATATAAGAATTCTATCATAAATGTTAATGGGTCAAATTCACCAATAAAAAGAATGAACTGCAGAAGGGTATAAAAATCCCAAACCCCCAAATCCATTGTTTATAATTAAGACATATAAAGTACAGATGAAAGCATATGGATTTAATTTAAAGGCTGGAACAAACGCTATTATGCAACATAAATTTTGAAAAGCAAGAGTTGTAATAATGATTCACGATAAGGCAATTAGCCACATAGATAAAACACTGAGAGACTGGTTGAAAAACTATGTGGTGATCAAAGGCACCAAAGATAATGAAAAGTAACCATTAAATATATAAGCATCAAATGGTACAGCAATTAAGTTCTTAGCAGAAAAGCAAACTTCAATAAAAAAAAGTCATAGAAAAATAAGATACTAATTTTAGACCACCTTAGCATTTCTATGCCAGTCTCCACAAATCCAGAAGGAAGATAAAGAAGCAACTTATAAACCTGAGAAAATTTTGGAAAGACAGATTTTAGAGAGACAAAGATTTGAATAGCAACCCTAGACAAGATACATATGTACGTATATTTGTCAGTTTCAAGAGACTAAGAAAAACTGATCACATGCTAGAGAACAAATTATCTCAAATAAAAGCAGAAACCATAAATACTTTACAAACCATAATCTACTTAATCCATAATTTTAGTGATTTGTATATTCCTTCCAAGACTGCAGATTGCAATCGTACATATCTGCTCAGCTTGTATGACTGCTATCTATCTGTGCTCATAAGTGTGCCACACAGGGTCTACTCATACGCTAAATTACTTTGTCATGTGTTCAACTTCAATCCTCTAAAGAGTGTTGCATTCAGTCATACTGTACTACCAAAAGAATACTGGTTTAAAAAGACAGGCCTTTCGCTGCTATCATTATTGGCTTGGTATCATTAAAAGAACTTTGCAGTTTCTCAGAGGCAACTCAATCTTCTCTTTCTTCAATTCTGAGCTAAATTGTTCACTGTCCATTTGGAGTGTTTTCCCAGGATTTTTATATACACAAACTGAAACAAGGAATTTGTGGAAGATTTTATGTGGAAAGATAGGAAACAAAAGGTCTCTCGGTTTCTGCTGAGTGGTAATATAGCTGGAATACAGCCAATATAACTATCACACCTGAGCCAACTCCTGGCTTAAATCTGGCTGACAAGCTGACACTCCTTAATTGCTTGGAGACCAAAGGATTTTCTAAGACTTACATCAAGGAGTGATCTACACATAAAGAACCATCCTAATTAGATTCTTCTAAGTCTTTATCTGGTTGGAACCAGTGATGCTAGAAGGATTAGCTCTACTAGAACTTCCCACTGTTAGGTGTGTGGTATCCAGGAAGACTAGCACCTTTCCTGTGAGGGCTTGCTAAGCCCTTTTCAGGGATGCTTATCACCTTTTGTGTCAATCTCATTCACTCTACCTGTGGTTCCAAGAAGCTTCACCATGCACAGTGACTAACATCCTGGATAAACCTTCTTGGCAGATAACCTAAACCAGACTGAGGGTAACCAACGGTCCTCAAACCTGTCAGTGAGTCAAAAGGATGTGTACCCTAAGCATGTGAAGAATTCCCCCGGCATAACACGCAGATGAAAACAATTTGTTCCAATGGCCAAGAAGGCGGCTGAATTGCGTGCCCGGAGCATAAGATGCAGCACAAGAACAGCACAACTTGGGGTAGAGCCAAGATGGTGGAGTAAAAGCAGTGACTTGTTTCAGCTCTCCCCCAAACCCCTCCAAATACCTGTAAAAATGGCTCTAAACAAATTCTAGAGCAGCAAAACCCACAAAAAGACAGTGAAACAGATTTCCAGCCCAAGACAACCGGGATGGCTGATTAGAAAGGTCTGTGGCGCCGGACTGGGAGAGCAACGCAGTTTGGTGGGCACTCAAGCAAAACAGGCCTCAGCGAACCTGCAGCAGGCTTCAGAGAACTGATGGGCAGCTGTGGCGGTTTCCAGACTTCTCAACCCATGAACACCAAAGACAACCTAGAAGGTCAGTAGGAAAAGTCTGTGACTGCAGTGAGAGAGAACCTCAGTCCCAGCCTCACTCCTGGCTTCAGCCCCAGGGTGGCGGCTGCTTCTGGAGCTTCCAGCCCACAGACCGAGGGGGAATCCAGTCACTGATCAGAGGGGGATTGCATGGATCTCTTTGCCAGTGCTGAGGCAGGAATCTCTTGCTTTGCCCGTGCTTGGACCTGGGTCACAGTTCTGGGTGGTGGTCCTGGGGCGAGGAGGAGCGCTGGCAGGGTGGAGCTTGTAGCAGCTGTGGAGAGGAAACCTTCCTCACAGGTACAGGACAGAAAGGAGTGTTTGTGGTCACTAAGAGACCAGAGCACAGGTCAGGAAAAGAGTAAACACCTCACTCCTTATCATAGCACCTTGCAAGAACTGAAAATTTACAGGTCCCTACAAGTATCTCTGAGAACAGCTGTACAAACCCCCGAAGCTTGGGACAGCATATTCTCCACATTGGAAGCAGACTCTTACCTTAACAAAGAGTAATTGGCCAGGATCATGAGCAAGCAGCGCAAAAAGAGTCAGACTATATTATCTTACTTTGGTGACAAAGAAGATCAAAATATACAACTAGAAGAAGACAACAAAGTCAAAGCTCCTACATCCAAAGCCTCCAAGAAAAATATGAATCAGTCCCAGGCCTTGGAAGAGCTCAAAAGGGATTTTAAGAAGCAAGTAAAAGAAGTAGAGGAAAAACTGGGAAGAGAAATGAGAGTGATACAAGAAAATCATGAAAAACAAGTCAACAGCTTGCTAAAGGAGACCCAAAAATATACCGAAGAAAATAACACCTTAAAATATAGCCTAACCCAAATGGCAAAAGAGGTCCAAAAAGCCAATGAGGAGAAGAATGCCCTAAAAAGAAAAATTGGCCAAATGGAAAAGGAAGTCCAGAAGCTTACTGAAGAAAATACTTCCTTAAAAATTAGAATAGAACAATTGGAAGAGTGACTTTATGAGAAATCAAGACACTGTAAAACAAAT